CTCTTGTTTACACTCAGGTCACAGACATTAAAAGCCAGAGTAATCGGTGCATGAAGTTTGTTAAAATCCAGCATTTTCTAGGGTAACCTTAAACGTCTTATTTATTATGCGACAAAATAAAACATTTTTATATAGAACTCGAAACCTCATGTTATGTAACTACATGTAGTTTAAGATACTTTAGACCTTGAATGCTGTTTCTTATCTTTACATGTTTAATCATTTTTCTACCATAGAGGAATAGTTTTAGGAGAAAAATTTAGACGGCAGATCTATAGTTGGTAAGTTTAGCAAATTTTCTCAATCGGACTTTTGAAACCACAAGACTTATCGATAAACTTTATAGTTCATGATTTTGGATATCAAAAGTTATTCCGAGAAATGACCCCCCCCCCCTCCCCGCCGTGTGTGACCTATCACCTCTTATAAACTTATTATAAGGACCCTTCGGCATTAAAAGCTTGTTATCGCTACTCTTCCGAAAACGTAAACCATAGAGATAGAGAAACTTCACCAATGTTTTCGACTACTTGAGGGGACTTTTCAATCTTTTCATTGCGAAATGATTTCTCCAGCCTTTTTATAAGTTATCGCTCCTGGGTGTTTTCGGATGTTACAAATAACGAATTGGTCTTTCTAAACAAGAAGTCGTAAAGACACTGAACCAACTGCAATAAATTTGTTGACATTTAACCTAGAAATTTATTTGAAGATCACAGGTCAAGGTCATTTAAATAAATCTCTGCTAAATGTTTACAATTAATCACCATGAAACGATTATCGCATAAACTGTACTTATAACTTTACTCGTAAATCCATGGTTTACAGATAGCAGATTTTTCTTTTCAAATTAAATAGAAAACACAATGATAAATATTAAATTACAGTGTGTTTTGTCTGATTGAACTGCTTTACTGATAAGATAATTACACAAGGTTCTGTCGATAATTAAGCAAAATTACTCTTAAAAAGGGGTGTCTACTTATTTAAACATTTCACATTAAAAGAAAATAATTTTAATTGACGACGTTTGGACGTTACAATGTTGATTAGCAATTTCTGACGTTGTATCATTGTAATTGACAACTTTTATAGTAACTCGAGTATGAGAAACGACCAAGGTAACTGCCGATTAATATAGACTGGTTCAGTAAGTGCACAAAAGGGATTTCTTTTTTACAATGAGACTTACAAAAGAACAAGGAGAATGTCTTTACCCACTCTGAGATCTTGTAATCAAATGAATGGGGATGGAACTATATTTAAACTTTTTAATTATCCCTGTCTCTCTCTGAAAGTTGTTATGTTGAAGAAAACATCAGATAATGTTTTATGTGAGCGCATTGTTAAGGTCCTTTTTTGAAGATGTGTATTGCTCAGATTAAATCAAACATGTAATAAGCTTTAACGATTAATTTAACCAGATTCAAATGAAGAAGGGGAACATTTCTTTTTATATTAATTATTTTGTATTAAAATCTTTCGGATATGAAATATTGTACAAGTGTTGGTAACTGTATTATGACTAAGTTAAAATCTGTGCTAGAATTTAAAACCAACGGATTTCGCTGACAGCGAAGGAACACTTTAAAATGCTTGAGGAAATGTAAAAAAAAAAAATTACAAAAAGTTTGTGGACGAAACACAATAGACAACAGACCGACGCCAGACACCCTTCTATTTGTAAAGCTGAATGAGACTTCAGCTCAGGTGAGCTAAAAATTAAAGAACATTTTATATCATAGAGTGCATATTTGTATTGTAGAGATAGCACAACAGACTTAATTGTATTTCTTGCTGCAGCATCCAACAGATGTTTCAAACAGATTTTCTTTATTTAATAAAGAATTCAGTAAAATTACATAACATACCAGACAAATTAGATGCTCCTCTTATATTTTTTGTTTCTTTTGTAATTTAATTCGCTATGTAATATTCTTACACATGAATTTAAATTATTAAACGATATCCTTAGAGTTAGAGCGACATTTTTGCGTTTCATGTCAACTATTCTTAAGTTTTCTTTTACATAAGAAAATCCAAATTGTCCTTAAATGCCCCGAACTTAGATGATTTTAATGATAATATCAATAATATAATGAAATATTTTGTATAATAGTATAAGGGTTTGGGCTGTACCTGTCGCTTCTGATCATGAAGTATCTCCTCAGAATCATTAAATTTCGACCTTCAAACAACGCCTCCATCTTGCTCGTAAAGCTACCATGTTGTAGGAATATCCTAAGAGTCTCAAACTGTACGTAATCAGATACTTGTTTTTACGTTCTAAATTATATTTTGAACCTAAATACACTCACATTGAGAAATTAAAGTATTTTTAGCCACCTTAATTTTTACATTGTTTTGATTTTTCATATCACAGGGAGATCCCCCTGCCATTGTTGTATATATGTTACCTGGTGATCTCCCATCTTCTAAATGTACATTCAGCAATGATAATCATGTCTTGCTTAGATTTTAGGGAGATTCCGCTGCCATTGTGATATTAGGTGCTCAATAAGTCTATGTATGTTTGTCTGGGATCTCCCTAGTAGTTAAGGTAGTTTATTTGTAATTATTTGTTATTTTCGTCATTAATAAATGACAATATTCATCAAACAATGTCTTGTAGTGTTTTAAGGAAGTAAAAATTAACAAAGCTGCAGGACCTAATGGGAACTGGTTTTCACGCATTCTTTACAATACAGGCATTTGTCTAGCTTAAGATAAATGGAGGGCATAAAAGTATTTTTAATACACCCACTTCTCTAAGATCCTGCCATCGCTTTTGTAAGGGAATATCGGTGACAAGAGTTATAATAGAACTTGTATTTAGTTATGTTCAAAGCTGATTCAGACTGGATTACTTGGGATATGTGATCTACTTTGCTAGCTAACAATATGTATAAGCCAAATTAAAAGAAATGATTGATTACCCTCGCCTGGACAACTGACTACAAATGTTCCGACTCAAAACTTTTTCTAGATGACATCAGTTAATTTTTATTAATATGCATATTTAAAAGAATTACGGAAAATTAGATATCTTTAAAGATTTTTTTAAATGAAGTTAAGTAACGAAGGCTAAAATCCTGTCCCTGTACAGGTATAAGTACTTTATTGTGGAAAAAAACACGGGTTTGTTATTCGTTAGATAAAACGATAAATTTTATTTTTTGAAGACGATTTCAAGCGATATCAGCATAGGATTATTTTTTGTGTGACCTAACAAAAATTATTTTTTAACTTTTGAAATTTGATATCTTTTAAAAGAAAAAGACTAAGGGGATATAATTTGACAAAAGTTGAAACAATTTATGGAAAATTATTTTTTAAAAAGTGAAACGAATATATTTTTTCGCATTTAGAATTGGACTATGAGGCTTTAAAATACTTGAAATTCAAAATTTTATCTTTAATTAAGGTCATACGAAACATTCCTCAAATTTCTATTTTGCACATCTTCATATTGTATGGAAACAATTCTAAATTTTAGTCTCCATATGATTTATAAACTAATTTTTTCCGCGAGTAAACATGTTAAAGTAGCAATACTTCAATGACAAAATCAAGTTTCAACATATTATTTTTCTATATATGTTTAATCAATAAAAAATAGAAGGTATACTTATTACGTGTTTCTGTGTAAAGTTACATATGTACATTTTTCTTTTAAAGATGTTTTCATTTTAATTTCTTTTCAGGAAATTATTTTTTCAGAGACCTAGAACCTCGACTTCATGGCATTGGAAAGATTTAACACTCAGTATAAGAAACGGCAATGTTCTCAATGTCAGGGGGACACAGAATTTTACTGTAACACGTGTGAACATGACCTGTGTCTACACTGTAAAGAGAGGCATGTTACCAACTCCCATAAAGTGGTGTTTTATAGAACAAAGCATAGCAAAAGAGGTTATACAATACAGTGTAAAGTACGACAGTGCTCTGAATGTAAGGGGAACACGGAATACTTCTGTAACACTTGTAAACAAGATCTGTGTCTACACTGTAAGGAGAGGCATGTCATTAGTCTGCACATCAAACATCATGACGTTGTGTTGTACCGTGAAAAATACGAAAGTATAACAAAACAAGAAAGCTGTGAGAGACATCCAGACAAAATATGTGATAAATACTGTCTTTCATGTGACGTCTCTATCTGTGTTCAATGCACAGTATACAGAAATCTCAAAATGTTACCTTTTTTATTCCTGTTGAATAAACACAGAACACACGAAATGCTGGACCTCAGACCAGCTTATGAAACAAACCGTCGAAAATACAGAGGAATCATCCGCAAAACGAGAAGTGACACTATCTACAATAGCTGTTTTCTTCTGTCAAAAATAAAAACTGATTTGAAATTTTGTCACACCTGTAGCTTTCAATCAGATATGTCCGTGAAAGCCCGTAGACTAAAGAATCTCATTGATAGTTATGTGAAAAGCAGGCTGAAAAGTTTAATGATTCAAACATCACAAATTTATGAACAACAAATTTGTAAATTGAACAGACACGTATCTAGAACAGAAAACTATGTATACAGATTTGAACAGTCAGTAAACAAACCTATAAAATTTCTCTCATTTCTTAAGAAAATCACGGTCCCAAAGATGAAAGAGAGTCCTTTTCTTACACAATATATTATAGTCCCTCTGATTGAGGAAATAAACAGGAAAGATGTGATTAAATCATTGTGTGAAATCCATATAAAAACAGCAAAAAGAAAAAAAGGGATTGATTCTGTGTTGAAGCTGATGTTTACACCAGTATTGCATACATTTATGATAGTGACAAGTGTTGATAATATTAGACACATTTCCCGCGAATCATCAAACCGATTCTGGATCAGTGATGAGAAAAATATCATTCTTACAAACACAGAAGGGGATGAACTATATCATATAACAGATATAGGTAGTTATTATGGAGGGCACACAGTGGACATTACAGGTGATCTTATTTATATAGACATTGATTTTAACATAATCAAACTATCAAAAGAATCAAAGTCTACACTGATTAAAAAAACAGAAAACTGGATACCACTCTGTGTTTTCTGCTCCCATTTCAATGGAGACCTTCTGGTTGGTATGCGGGGTTTTCGGCAAACATGTAAGGTCAGCCGTTATAGTTACGAAAGACAACACATATATACCATACAACACGACAACAAAAGTCTGGCAATGTCTGGATTTCCTAACTACATCACAGAGAACCACAACGGAGATGTTGTTGTGTCTGACTGGCCCTATGCTGTAGTGGTGACAGATCGTGAAGGGAGATGTCGCTTCTCCTACAGAGGACGCCCTTCATCATCAGGAATATCACCACAAGGAATTTGTACAGACGCAATGCCAAACATCCTTGTGTGTGATGCTCTTACCGACGCAGTACACATAATTGATCAGAATGGCCAATTTTTGTCACTGATACAGACTCAGCAGTTAGAAGGGATCAACACACCATGGAGCCTGAGTTATGACGACAAAACTCATCTTCTCTGGGTGGGATCATGGACGAACAACAGAGTTTGTGTCTACAGGCACAAAGAAAGACAGGACTACTTGCCAGGTTACAGTACCGACCGGACACAACCTGACAGAGAGCGAACCCGGAACGGACCCCGGGTTCGCTCTCTGGGTCCGCTCCGGGTTAGCTCGGGGTCCGCTAGGGCTGACCCAGAGCGAACCCGGAGCGGACCCAAAGCGAACCTGTAGCGGACCTCGAGCGAACCCGGAGCGGACCCAGAGAGCGAACTCCAAACCGGAGAGTGAACGCGGGTTCGGTATTTCTTTACAGCGCTGTCAATCAGGATTAGCGAATAACCAATCAGCGCATCAACCAAGTAAAATAGCATATTGATCTGTCGATTGGGATATAAGATCGAACGTGTTGATTTAATTCGATATGAATCCAAACACTGTACAAACAAGCAAGTCCTGTGAATGTGCTGTGTAATTCTATTATGATAATTAAAATATTATTTCATATTTATTTTTCTTGAATTATCCGGGTTGTATTTTATATTTATATAATTGTTTTCTTTTTTATTAGGGCAATTAATTAATTATTCTTTAATTTTCCACGTAGAATTATACATGAATATTTACTTTTTTTATTGTCTTTAGTTTTTTATTCCAGTATTTAAAGTCCATTTGGTAAATAAATTGGGTAAATACATCAGTCAATGCATAAAAATGGAAATTAATTGATATTACAATTCTTACTGATAAAAAGAGGAGAAAAGAAATATAGTTGGTCTTTGAATTATTGTACAATTTCATCATCTCAAGATACTAACAATTCAGGAATATTAACGTGCCCAATATTTAAATATAAATAGATACAGGAAACACCAAGATGGAAGAAAGAGAGAGAGAGAGAGAGAGAGAGAGAGAGAGAGAGAGAGAGAGAGAGAGAGAGAGATCATAACTGTAATCTCTCATAGACTTGATTTTAATAATAAAGCCTGACTTTTACTTAAATTTCTATAAGTCGTCCTCCGAATACTGTACTCAAACTGTTTTCTATAAGCCTAGGCCTGCTGCAGCTATTTTTTTATATACATGTACAGGAAGATGACTGTATATAAAGCATTAAAAATGACCAACAGTTTTCGGGACGCTCTGTCCCTTCCTCGGGACAAAGAAAAAAGTTAAAAAGGCATAAGAACAAAGGGAAACCAAAAACAACTAGCTACTACTAAACTACTTAACACTTTATATTTACATAGTTATACATAGTTACATAGGTTTACTCAGGTGATCACGACATTTAGTAAATCGTACATTGTTTCATTCTCTCAAAATGGCGTAACTATATTTGACAAAGAATAATCAGAGAAACATAATATAGAAGGGATATTTTAACATATGAATTATGATCTATTATAAATTTTGAAATGTTTTAGGGCTAATTATTAAGAAAAAAATTAATAAAGGCGTAAGCGATACATAGTTATGTGGATTGATCGAGAGTTGGTAACCCATACTAACTGTAGAGTTACACTAAATTGAAAGAATAATCTTGTTAAGTATCATCAGGATTTTGGTCTAATTCACGTTCATTCTGGTGAAGTCATTCCGTTTGTTAATCCATAAGGGCGGAATGACTTCAATCTGTGCATCCAGAATGAAGAATTTCATATACACGCATTTTTTTTCAAGCCCAAGAAGATTAAGAAGATCAATAATTTTGATGTAAATTTTGAATAATTTAATGTAACACGTAAATTTAGAAATCATAAATAAATCAATTAAATAATTAGATTTTTTTTAGACAGTATGTGTTTGAAATAGGGGGCATATAGTAATATAATCTTATCGGGTTGGGAGAACAATTACTATTTGCCTTTTTCTTTATTCTGATAAAAATCAAACTCGCTCCAAAATTCTGACCGTGAAAAAGATTTGACATACAGTGTAATATTTTTTTAGAAAATGTCCGGTAAATATTTATAAGGAACTTTTAATGTGTAACTACTTTAAATGAAATCTAAATATGAATAGCAGATGTACAAAAGTTTACATGTAATTAAAAGATGCGATATCACAATTCACGTGTTAAGCAAACATTTAAACTAAGATTTAGCAAAACGTACGGAATAACAAAAATTAATGTATTTTTAAACTATATAAAGCATGAATATAAAAGGTATTTAGTTTAAATTTCTTTCGTCAGTTCCTCTTGTACACCAATCGATACACTGAAAATCAATTCAACACTCTTTTCTTCCTCTTCTTTTTTGTTTTCTTGTTATAATCTAAGAAAAATAAATGTCTTATAACCCGCTGTTAAATTAGTTTGAATTTCTCGGGTTCGAAAAATCAAGGAAATCAATTATTCATGTACAGGTAAATCTACGTCGAATGTACAGTTGAAATTTATAAAATTTATCAATGTTCTCCATTATATCACTGTTTACATGTCAGTGTACAAGTCAGCATCGTCGCATAAACAACAATGATCGATCCACAATACCATAATTGTATTAGAATATACAAGGGGCGGGGCTTACTGGCGGTGAGATTAAAGCGGGGTCCGCTTCATGCATTGGTGCGTAAAGCGGTACCAGGAAGTGAACGCCGGTTTCGCTCTAGCGGACCCAGAGCTACCCCGAGCGAACCCGGAGCGCACCTAAAGCGCACCTGGAGCGGACCCAAAATTTCTGAAAGCCAAAGCGGACCCCGAGCAAACCCGGGAAGCGAACCCGGGGTCTGCCCCGGGTTTGCTCTAGTGTTAGGTTGTGTCCGGTGGGTACTGTATTTTGAAAGAAACTGTAAAAAAGGTAAAAGATACATAAGCACTCTTGATTATCAGACGTGTAACTGTCTTCATTTTTTTTCAGTACATATTTCGCTGAAAAAAGGCTTTTTATGATATTACAAATTTAAAATTCGAAGAATCAAACTGTGCTCAATTGCCCTGAGTGCCAAGTAAAGGTTCAAATTTGAAGCCCTTCAACGCTATGTGATGACCTCTCTACACGAGTGAAAAATTCTAGAATGGGACGTTAAACAACATTAAATCAATCAATCAATCAATCTTCAGATGGATCAGCTGACAGTATTTATTTTGTTTATCGAATCTTTTTAATGTTTCTTCTTCTTGTCTACTTTTCCTTGCTTTTGAACTTTGAATATCTAACAAAAAGCCTTTTTATTTAACATTTAATTGTGTCTCGTTTTAATTGATTTCAAACAATTGATAAGCTCCTTTGCTTTCCTAAAAGAATTTATCATCTCCTAATAAGAATGTATTAAATTTCCAAAACCAATCTATTATGATGGGCTTCACTTTGAAGTGTGAGAGATATGACACTATGATCTGTTTTAATGGCAGGCTTTATGTTTGACTTTGCATGTGGAAATAGTAAATATGGAATGATAAAAAAATCTATTCTTGATAGAACAAAAAACATATTGTTTTCGCTAGCGAAAATCAAATGATTTTGGATAAATACAATTTCATAACATTGGTTACACTTTATAAAGTATTCAACTTATTTAGAGTGTTTTAACTTTTGATTTTAAATTTTCACTGATATTGATCTGTTGCTTGCTGGTGCTGGACTGTGGCTTTCAAATAACAGACGTTTATTTTAACTAAAAGTTGACTATCAATTGGGCGTTTGTTTACTGATATTCTGTTGAAAATGTAAATGTTTACACAGAAAGGTCAAATGAATATTATAACATCAGTATTTTAATTTTCAGTAACTACATCTGGATCTAAAAGGTCATCGGAACGAGGACCTAAACAATTTCATAAAAGACAATAAAAGCAAAAACTCACAAGATTTGTATCAGTCTTATCTGTAAGCAGAGAGCTTATGAAGACAAATATCTTTTTAACATCTCAATATATTATAAACAAATATTGTGTGAAAATAAATGTTCTACATGACTTTTTAACAGTTTTCAAGTTTATAAATTCAATATTTGAAAACTTATGAGGTGATCAGATAGATTTAGTTACTTGTTGTTAGGTTCAGTGAGACTGTACATTTTGACAAAGTGCTAATTTGAACTTTATTGACATTTTTTTTCTTTTTTCGTCGAAATTTTCATTCGTCAAACTTCACATCATAGTCGGTATATACAAATATGTTTCAGCATCACAACAGATATTGGCTATTGTACAACGTTACCGCTTATTTTTTTTCGGCTATCCCTTATTAAAACCGTATATCAAAATAAATGTTTAATTTGATTTTGTAAATTTTAATGAAAACATATGAAAACACAAAGTTTAAAAAACCAATGGATCTAAACAGGTAGGCATATACTTTTATACATGTAACTAACGGTCTCAACATTCTAACCTGCATTATTATCACGCTGTGCTTAGCCAACTTTGTCAACTCTGGCAATTAGACTCTTATAATGAAAGCGAAATACAAAAGAGCAATTTACATGTATTCAATCAAATCTCCATACACTGTAAATGGTTTTTCAAGCAATAATTTTTATTATTGATTTCAACGCTTGTAAATAAATTCAAGTGGAAGACATAGTTTTTTGTTTTACACATCGTAAATTTGCTTGAATCGGCTTAACCGTAGACGTTCTCACGTCCTTGTCAACTACAGAAAGCTAATGTTTCTGCCAGGTTTTTGTCCTCTAGATTCTGGCGAACCCTTGAAACTCGTACTTTGAAATTTCTTTTTTTTAAAAACTCTTATGGACCGTTCGTCTGATTTGCTTGTGAAATCATAGATACATTAATTTTATTCAATACTTTGTCGAATAAAACACTTAAACACAATTTTAATAAACAAAAAAACCTAACACGTTAACAGTACCTAAATTGGCAGAGAATCGGTGTAATGAAGACTGCGTCAACTCCTTATTTATCTGTTTTATTTTTTCCTTGATGGTGAAATACATGTTTTGCAGGATGAGATATCAGTAAAAGTTATTTGGTTGTATAAGTGTGAATTTCAAAAAAAAACAAAAATGAAAAAAACGACAGCATTTAATATTGAACATAACAACAACAAATGTCATATTTAATTGTGAATTGTATTATATACTGCTCCAATGATAATATTAAAATAAATGTTTAAAAATATTATTGTTTACTTTGAGTTATCTCTCAAAAGATTGATTTACATTAACTGTAGAACCCTACCAAATATATGAAATCAGGTGTGATCGGGAGCCATGGAGAAGTGAGAATAAACTGTCGTTTGGTCACACCCCTTGTGTTCTATTTTTTTTTTTCAAATTTCAAAAAGTGACATGTCAAGTTATATAATAAGATTTTTAGTCACATTCACACACACATTCACACTTCCCCTCTGATTTTAAACAAGCATGAAATATTAAATAAACAGTATTTCAAGAAATATGTAAATTTGTGTTTTAATTAATGTTTGTAACTAAAAAATATTAATGCATGGTGACCATAGATTTTCAAAATTGTTCATTGTAAATTTGTGAATTGATATGCATTTTTCTACTTTGTACTTAAGAGTTAAATGATGTTGCAGCCCAGTAATCATAAGTATTTTGTTCTGCTTTAAACAAGAAAAATATGTTGCTTTGTATATAAAATAATGCATTTTTTCACCCTATTATGTTAAGAAAATGGCATTTCACCATAAATCCAACTCTTTTAGAAGTGTTTGTAAATATGTGCACGCTAAAATTACTCCATAATGGAGAAATGTTTGTACAATTCAAAAATATATGTTGTATTGTTTCTATATCCTGTTTACAAAAGGTACAGTGATCATCCAATATATCACTTTAAAATAATTAATATTATATGTATTTTTTGGTCTTATTACATATAGACTGTGCCATTGTTCATTCTCTTTACTTCTTTATTGTTACAATAACTGTTTTAAATCAAATTATAAACAATGATTTAAAGATAAATAAAAGGCTTAAATGGATAGTCATATGTGATCATTAAAAACAAAAAAGAGGAATGTACTGAAATATCTTTGACAAGAGTGTCCCTTAATTTCTAAAGGTATTTCGTGTTTTTGATCAGTGATCCTTTTCAGCCAAGTCGTGGTTTATTGTGACATGTTCTGAATTCTACAGCTTTAGATTTCAGTGTTTCACGATAAATCCTCGGTAAACAGACACACTTCTCGTTCTCCTCCGGGGTGTACCTGTCGCTCCTGAAATATCTCCTCAGAATCATTAAATATCGACTCTCAAACAACGCCTCCATCTTGCTTGTAATGCTACCATGTTGTAAGAATGTCCAAAGAGTCGCGAACTCTACGTCATCAGAGGCAAAGGTCACGTGACGTTCGGAACACTTGAGAGTTGATAATGCCTTGCACTTTTTCCTGAATCCCTGGGGCGTCCTTGTCTGTATTGTCGTGTTATGGAATCGCTGATAAATATCGTTGATTACGGACATACCTTTAAGTGCCTTCCAGCGAAGCCTGGAGTTTTTACTTAAGAGGACGCCGTAGTGTAGAGTTCTTGTGATGGCTGTTTCTGTGGTCTGACAGAAAGGATCTAAAGATATATAAAAAGAAAGTACTAGGTATAAATCATATCATTATTATTTAAAAAATATCAAATAATCCTTAAAAACAGAGTTAATATTGAGCTTATTTATCTAATTTTCACTGTATGGTGCGTGGCATTTACCCGCAGGAAAAATGTTCAAAGACAACACAGTATCAGTGAAAAGAAATCACTGTTATTTACTTCAGTAGAGAACATACATGTAAATAACACGTTCAGTTAATTTATCTTGGCCTTTTAAAATGTTAAGAATACTTGAATTAATTACAAATTGAGTGATATATTGTAAATTTCTATTTTTTAGAATTTAGATCTAGGGGCAGATCACTCTAACTGCAGAAAAATACCTTAGAATCAGAACTTTTTAGTGTGCAGTGTAGAGAGGGTTCTTAAATTAATTTATTTTAAAAAGTGTAAAAATATTTTATTAATCAGTGTTTGTTTTACGAGGAGCACATTTATGAGACATATCAGGATTTTTATGACACATGTATAAGGAAGTTAACAATCAAGTCTAGACTAAAAACGTCTTAGTGGTTTTTAATAAACATGTATTATACCTCAATTGCTGTGATAAGTAAGGATGGAAGAACAACATACCTTTATTGATATTTTTTGTTGTTTTAACTCTGCTAATAATGACGTCATACTTGACGTAGTTCCGACTTCGCCAATTCGTTGAAAGGATAGGTTGATGTGTCAACCGTGATCGAATTTGTGCTCTTGTTAGTTCTGTCCTTACGTGGAATGCAGGTCCAACTAATTTGATTGGACAAAATTCTAAAAGGAAGGGAAAATGAATAATAAGTAAACATGTATATGACGTCATTACATTAATATCACTACAAGCTTTGATATTGTACGCACCGAGTACAGTAAGTTCACTTCTCTCCATCTTACTTCCAGACTTCAATATGCACTGATAGGTGGCGCTGTCATTGATTGTGACATCATGAATTACCAATGAGACAACGTTTGGCAGATCCACGATGATGTGAAATTTCTGGTTGTTGGTTCCTATTTTCTCTCCGTTTCTTTCCCACGTGATTTTATCAAACCTTCTGTCAATATCATCAATAGTTAAGGCTACGTTATTCCCATACTGTCGAACTCTAACAACTGAAAGTAACGAGTAAAACATTTACAAATGCTCTTTATAGAAACATTTTCAAGATCTCAACAGTCAACTATTCATATTCTCGCATTATATTTTACAAATGAAAAAGCTGCTGTATACAGACTACTTTAATCGCCCGTTATTTTTCTCTCCGATTCTGAAAAATGGGCGAATTCAAAAGGAGACAATTTTGACAAACATTAAATATTTTATCACAACGGTGCCTTGGTGTAAACAAAACGGGGCAAATTATGTTACATGCAGTGTCCCTCTATGGTGGATATTAACGAATCACTGGGGAAAAAGTCAAAAAAGAGCCTAGAGATTTAATTTCGCTTGGAAATTAGTTGTACAACCAAGAATAATAAATCAATGAAATAATACTACAAACGTAAAATTTGAAGGTAATCGTTTACATGAATGAAAGATTAACAGGTATCAATTTCTCACTTATCAAATTAGGGCGTTTTTTTTAATTTAACACACATTGTGGAACATCCGCAAACAAACTGTGGTGTTTTTTATTATTTTGAAATTCCAAAGACATTTTCATAAGTTTTTGATTTTCGTTGATGTTTTTGGATTTTCAAAATCTTGTTGCGTTCATCTTCCTTCTTTAAATTGATCATCTTTTGAAACTTTAATAGTATGAATACAGTATCTGCTATATATAGTTATTGGTATAAAGAAACACATCGATATATATAGTGCAAACTTTAATAAACAGCAAAGCATGACTGTTTACATGTAAGTACTTCATTTCTTAATTTTACTACTTCTTTTGGGAAGAATACGTTATTAAATGGATTGCTGGAAAAACCATTCAAATTCATTTCCATTGCTTTTATAGGAATTAATACTTATAAATACCACCGTAGACGAATCTGTTGGTGTTCTATAGTAATAACTCCGTCTTTCGGTTTGTCTGTCTGTAAATCTGTAAGTCCAATAATTTTCTTTCATTTCCATTAATATTTTAATGATTATCCTATAAAACTCAAATTCGGCATTATGTTTCTAAAGGCAGTTATTTAGGTATACTTTTAGATTCGCTAACTCAATCGGTTAAGACATGTGTAAATGGTAAATGTCTTTTCTTTATGAGAACTTTTTTCTACAGTAAAGTTTTGAATATGCAGTGAATCCCCAGGAATTAATTGTGTAACCTTCGTCAGAAGAAACTGAGCCTAATTTATGTTAAAGTAAATCACAATTATGTAAGACGTGTGAGAATGTAGAACACATCGCTTTTATTATGAAATTAA